AGAAACAGGCTACTGGCAACTAACAAACGATTGTATCTATATAAAAATTAAAAAACACCTTTATGGCAGGACAACATGAATACAGTTTTTTCGGCGCCGTAGAAAAGAGCTTCGACAAAGCTGCCAAATTTACCAGCATCGACCCCGGTTTGCTGGAGCAGATAAAACAGTGCAATTCGGTATACAGGATGCACTTCCCCGTAAAAATTGGTGATAAGATTGAGGTCATTAAGGCTTATCGCGTACAGCATTCGCACCATAAAACCCCCTGCAAGGGCGGTATCCGTTTTGCGCCTTCGGTTAATCTTGACGAGGTAATGGCACTGGCTGCTCTGATGACCTATAAATGCGCCATCGTAAACGTACCCTTTGGCGGTGCGAAAGGCGGCATTAGTATCGACCCCAAAAAATACACGCCTTACGAGCTGGAAAAAATTACCCGGCGCTATACCCATGAGCTGATCAAGAAAAACTTCATAGGACCTGGTACAGATGTGCCTGCCCCCGACTATGGTACAGGGGAGCGCGAAATGGCCTGGATACTGGATACCTATACCAGCATGCGTCCGGGCGAAATTGATGCCCTGGGCTGCGTAACCGGTAAACCCGTTACACAGGGTGGTGTTCGCGGCCGTCGTGAAGCTACCGGCCTGGGTGTTTTTTACGGCTTGCGCGAGGTCTGCAATATGCCCGACGTGATGCAGCGCCTGGGGCTAAGCATAGGGGTAAAAGACAAACGCGTGATTGTACAGGGGCTGGGTAACGTAGGCTACCATGCAGCCAAATTTTTCCGCGAAGGGGGTGCAAAAATTGTAGCGCTGGCAGAATATGAGGGCGCTATTATGAATGCTGATGGGTTGAATGAAGAAGCCGTTTTTCAACACCGCAAAAAAACAGGTTCTATCCTTAATTTTCCCGGCGCTACCAACCTGGCCAAATCGGGCGATGCATTGGAACTGGATTGCGACATACTGATTCCGGCGGCATTGGAAAATGTAATTGATGGTACCAACGCACAAAAAATAAAAGCAAAAATTATTGGCGAAGCCGCCAACGGACCGTTAACCCCCGATGCAGATGAAGTGTTTGAAAAGAAAGGAGTGCTGGTAGTACCTGATATGTACCTGAATGCCGGTGGTGTAACCGTCAGTTATTTTGAATGGTTAAAAAACCTTAGCCATGTGCGTTATGGCCGTATGGAAAAGCGGTTTACAGAAAATATGAACAGCCATATACTGGGGCAGATTGAAGAACTGACCAGTAAAAAAGTGAGCGCCAAGGAAAGAGATTTTATCATGCATGGGGCAGATGAAGCAGACCTGGTGTACAGCGGACTGGAAGAAACCATGATTGCTGCTACCCGCGAAGTGATGGAGGTATGGAAAGCCAATCCTTCTATCCCCGACATGCGCACGGCTGCCTATGTTGTAGCCATCAATAAAGTAGGCACCAGCTATGCAGAGCTGGGCATATTCCCATAGTCAGGAATTGGGAATCTGGAATTGGAACCAGGCTTTCATGCCCGTTAACCCAATTCCAGATTCCCAATAACTAATTCCCAGCCTGCGGCGCATATACCCTTTTGCGGCTCTGCAGGTATTTGTCGTGTATAATGGTAGCCATCGGTTTCTGGTAGACCTTGCTTTCTACCCATGAAATAATATCCAGGTAGGCAAAAGCCCTGGTTTCGAACCGGCTCTTTTCAAATTTTTTAATCTTTTGCAGAAAGTTTTCCAGCTCAGACCTTAATTTATTTCTCGGTAACTGGAAAGAGGTACGCAGGAATTTAAACATCTCTTCTTCCAGCACGGTAACGTGCTGCTTTTTGGCCATAAACCTGTACACAGATTTGGTCAGGTACTCCATCAGTTCATAGTTACCCATTTCAAAATGCGCCATCAGGTGCAGCAGGCGGGCGTAAGACTGAAGATCGTCTCTGATGTCCAGCTGCTCATTGATTATTTTCTGCAGGTAATCAATGCAGGTGCCGTAATCTTCGCTTCCAAAATACAGGGTAGCAATTTTATAGTTCAGCACCATAATGCGGTGGTTGTCGATAAACAGATCGTATTCCACCAGTTTTTCTTCAATAGAGGGAACCAGCAGAAGCCCTGCTTTAAAAGTGCCCATCATGGAATGCTGGTTGATTTTGGCGCTGGTAATGTACACGAAAGCCTGGATGCGGAAGTTATCGTGGTCTTTTACCCGCTCTGTATTGGCAAATGCTTCAAACTTCCGCAGTGCGATTTCAAATTTTTCGTAGTTGCGCAGATCAAAATGCGCATTCAGCAAAGTATGCAGGCCTTTAATATAATGCCCGGTTTCTACCCGCTGCATCAGGGGATGCTCATCAAACAGATCTACCCATTTTTGTGAATAGCGGTAATACAGCAGGAAATCCTGCCGTATAAAAGCATACCAGGAATAGCTTTGAAAAAGATAGAGTTTTTCATAAAAGCCGGTTTGTTCTTCTGCACCGGGCGGCAAATTGTCGTGTAAAAACTGTTTTACCGCCAGCTCATCTGTTTCATTGCGCGCATGACCATTTTTTATAAACCAGCTATACAATTGCAGCGCCAGATTAGAAAGCTTGGCCACCATATCTATTCGGCCCGTTACTTCCACTGTTTCTGCAGACAGCTGCTCTGCCCGGCTTTGCATACTGCGGGTAATATGCAGCATTTCTATGCGTTTTTCCAGCGCCAGTACCAGCGTTAGAAAATTGAATTTCTGGTTGGCCTTGGCGGTTTCCTTAGCCTTGTCAAGTATTTTCAGGCTCTGTGAGAAAAGGCCTTTTTTATACAATATATGCGCATAGTCGAACTGTTCGTTCAGCTGCAGATCAATACTGTCGGCGCTTTTAAGCAGGCGCAGGCTGGCCAGTAACTGCTTGTACAAGTGTACTTTTATATTGGAGAGCTGCGGCTTTTTAATGGAAGGGAGTTTTTTCAGCAACAGCGCCTCATCATACTCCTTCAGCTTATCCAGGGCATCAAATAATTCGATGATTTTAAGGTCTTCATTACCCGAACTTCTCTTTATGTACAGCTTGAAATTCCTTTTTTCCGACTTTTCCAGCGACTGGACCAATTGAAATAAACTATCTGAAAAACGGTTGGACATAATAAACTAATTTTCATAGAACCCAGCAGGGTAAAGGTTTTGCCCAATCAGGGAGCAGTTTAAGCGTAATAAAAACACTTATAACTTGATTAAAATAACATTCCAACACGTCCTATCTTTACTGTGTTGAAAGAAAAGGAAGTGTTGGAGATGTTGGTTGGCAAAGCAATGAATCGTTAAAGGTCGTATAAAGCAAGAGAAAAAGCTGTTCAAGCAGCTCAAAATATTTCGAAGAATTTCATATGGCAAGCAATCGTTAGAGGTCAGTCCGTTTCTACGGAAGGACCCTTTTTTTTTTGTAGAGGGCGTGAAATTATAAATAAAATATAATATTCAAAATTTTATTTTTAAATCCCACTTATTTAATCTACGTAAATACCGTATTTCACGGCAATTTTGATTGCATCTGATTGTATTTCAATGCGTTTCCCCATTAACCGTTGCCCTCAAAAAATTTTTTTACCCCACCGTATTTTTACTGTTACCTGATTAAAACAACTACTCCTTTTGCTGTAAACGGCTTCCCGTTGTAGTCAGTAGCCTTTAATTCCCAAACATAGGTATCCACTGCCTGATCTTTACCTGACAGACGACCGTTCCATCCGGCAGTATGGTCGTTTCTGCTGCTGAATACCAATTTACCCCACCTGTTATAAACATTGAAATAGTCCAGCCGCTGTATGCCTGCAGCTATTGGCCTTAATACATCGTTTTTGCCGTCCCCATTCGGACTAAAAGCATTGGGAACAAAAACAGTTGCCGGTGTTGCATATACTTTAACTTTTATAGTTGCTGACGCTGCACATCCAATTTCATTGTATACCAATACTTTATACAGTAATCCCGCATTGGCCTGATCTATCAGCGCCACAGGATTGGCTACATCAACGGCGGATAAATAATTGGCAGGACTCCATTTGTATTGCACCCCGCCGGTAGCATTTAGCTGCAGGGGTTGATTGGCAACAATGCTGGTATCATTTCCTGCAAATGCATGTATTGCTGGCAGTGACCTCACAATTACTGTATCATAACCGGGTTTGGGGCAGCCTTTTGTATCGTATGCCGTCAGCACATAGGCGGTTGTAAGGGTGGGTTTCGCCATAGGTGTTAAAGTACCCGCATTGCTGAGTGAAGCTGCGGGAGACCAAATGAATGCATTACCCACTACACTTCCCTTTAACTGCGCACTTGTATTGAAACAAATGCTGGTGTCTGCTCCCGCATTGGCTACCGGGTAGGGAATGGCTGTGACCCTTACCCGGGCCGTTGCACTGCAGCTGCCCGTGCTGGCCGTCACCTCATACAGGGTAGTGCTGTTGGTAATGGCGATAGCATCTGCCACCGCGGGATTAATGAACTGTGCCGCTGGTGTCCAGGCATATTTCAAACCATCAGACAACAGGCGCATGTGGATGCTGTCTGTACTGCATATCACCGTATCTGCCATGGCCTGCAGGGTAATATGATCTATTACCCGCACTTTTACCGAATCGCGGTTTTTACAACCATTGTCGTCAAGGTCTACAAAATAAGTGATGCTGTTGCCCGGCGCTACGGTAGGTGCAGCAGCAGTAGCATTCAAAATATTTACCAGCGGCGACCAGCTGAAATTTCCGCTTCCGGCTGCCAGTAACTGGACTTTGTCACTCACACAAATCAATGTATCGCGAAAAGCCAGCTGTATGGGAGGCTTATCTACAATGGTAATTTCCCTGGAAACAGTGTCTGTACAACCTTTGCTATCTGACACTATCAGCCGCACATTTTTAATACCTGCTACCGGGTAGGTGAACGACTGATCGCGCAGCGTGGAAGTGTTTTCAAAGATGATTGGTTCTCCAAAATTCCAATGCCAGCTGTTAACCGTTCCATACCTGCTGATGCTGGCATCTTTAAAAAGCACTGGCTTATTTACGCAGATACCGCTGCTGGAAAAGGCAGGTTGTAAACCCGGATAAAATACGATGGGCGCTGTATTGCTGTCTGAGCACAAATCGTTTTTATTGACCACCAGCTTTACCAGGTAGCGCCCTGTATCAGGGAAGCTAAAAACAGGCCTTGGCTGGTTTGAATTAAAAATAACAGCACCACCGGCATTGAACAACTGCCATTCATAGCTTTTAATCAGCGGGCTGGTAGAAAGGTTTTCCATGGTGATGGATGCTGTGTCGCGGCAAAAAGCGTAGGCAGCCTGCAGCGTAGCGGCAGCAATGGTACAGTTGGCAATATTTATCTGCAGATCTTTCCGCTGGGTGGCAATTACTACTCCGTTCCGTATTTCCTGTACACAGACCGTAACCACGTACCTCCCTTCGCCTGGCGCAATGCCGGAAATCAATCCGGTTACCGGGTCTATTTTTACACGGTTGCCCAGTGGGGCGTTGCCGTCAAATTCCGGTACTGCATAAGGCACGGATACGTAAGGAGGCGCAGAAGCAGGTCCGCTGGTATTGCCCGACCCACCGCTGCCACCTGCATAGGCATTACAAAAGGAATAACGCAGGGCATCGCCATCGGCATCGGTAGCAGCAAAACTGTAAGTAAACGAGTTGTCCTGGCAAACAGTCACCAGGTCGGTGCCGGTAAAATGCGCAGCATTGTTTTTGGGGGCCTCCGGCAAAGTTGGCAGTGAGCCTGGAATGTCTGCTGTATAAGTAGCCCCTACCTGTATATAGCTGCCAAAATTATTGATGCCTGCAATACGGAAATTTACCTGGCTGCTGAGGAGGTAGCCATTGGCAGAAGGCGGAAGCGAAACACTGAAATAAAAATAACCTGTTACATAGCAAACCACGGGTGGATCCGTAATACAGGGATTATTACTGGTAATACTGATGGTTTCCTGGTTGCCCAGCGGGGCAGTGATTTCCTTTATGCGCTCACCCGTAATCCTGTCAAACACAGAAATAGTAGTAGGGTCAGCAAATTGCCGCCCGCTGTTGCAGCGCATAAAAAGTTTTAAAGTAACATTGTACTTGTACTCTCCCCCGCTTAGTCCGGAACAGGTATAATACATTTCTCCCCCGGTAATATGATCCGCCTTTGCCACCTGCATGCAGCCAATACAAAAAAAGAAAATCATTATCTTCCTCATGGCCGGGTTACTGTAAATAATTTAGTGAAGCGGTGATGGGCCCAAACAGGCAGCAATTTTATAATAAAAGGTTGCTGAAAATACGATTTTTCTACGGAGTTAGTTGCCTCCCCGGCCAGACCAGGGCCCTGTTTATTACCGCTGCCAAAGAAAACCCTCCGAAAGCTTTGCAAACTCTTATCATTTTGCTGCTTAATTTTATTGCTCAGTAAAACAAGCTTTTAATGACCAAATGGCTTTTTTGTTTCGCCCTTTCCCTGCTGATGGCATCCTGTGTTTCTTCCAGAAAGACCAGCTACACTACCCTGCCGGTGGTAACGGTTTTACCTGCCCTGCCCGAATCGAATATCAACGTGCCCGTAAAAGTGGCAATGACACCCTTCCTGGAGAAAGCGGCCGTGCTGGTACCCAAAGAAGTAACCAGCGACGGTTGGCCCCAGTACCTGCAGACCTCCTGCGATTTTCATTATAAATACCGGTTTGTACCCGGCGGGTTCACCTTTAACTGCCAGAACAACCAGGTACAGGTAAAACTGAGTGGTACCTACCAGGTGGCCGGAGAAAAATGCGTCTGCGCTTTCGGCCAACAAACTTCGCCCTGGATTGGCGGTAGCTGTGGCTTTGGAAAGGAGCCGATGCGCAAAACAGATATTTTCATCAGCTCGTTGCTACAGTTTCAGCCCAATTATACGGTGCATACAAAGACCACGGCCCAAAAAGCACAGGCTTTTGAAAAATGCACGGTTTCTATGTTTAACCTGGATATTACACAGCAGGTAATGGACAGCATTAAATCTTCTACCAACGCATTTTGCTATTCTATGGACAGCGTGGTGAACGGCCTGGATTTCAGCAGCACCACCAAATCGCTGGCAGACCGCATCAACAAAAAAATTCCGCTGGATAAATACGGCTTCCTGAAAATAAATCCCTCTGCAGTAAAGATGGGCAGCATGAACAGTGTAAAAGACACATTACAGGCTGTGCTGGGCATATTCTGTTACCCGGAACTGCACAGCGACAGCACCAATAATTACGCTGCCTCCTTTTTGCCACCGTTGCAAAATGCTGTGGTAGCGCCTGGCATTACTGTGTACACCAACGCCCGGTATGATTATCCATTTATCAACAGCATTATTAACCAGCTGGTAAAAGACACTTCGTTCCTTATTGAAGGCAGGCAGGTAATCATTAAAAATGTGCAGCTGAACGGGGCAGAAAATGGCAAAGTGGAAATACTGGTAGATTTTGATGGCGATAAAAAAGGCAGCCTGTATTTAACCGGCACTCCCCAGCTTGATACCGGCAGCCAGGTAATTGTTATACCAGACCTTGACTATTCACTGAAAAGCAACAATCTTATACTGAACCTGGGCAAAACATTTTTCAGCAATAAAATACTGCATGCGCTGCGGGAAAAAGCCACCATCAGCATTACCGACCTGGTAGAACAAAACCGGAAAAGCATCGACGCCCAGCTGAATAAAAAAATCATGGAGGGCGTTTTCTCTACCGGCTCACTGAAAGATATAAGGGTGCTGAGCCTGGTAGCAGGCAAAGATGTATTGCAGGCCCAAACCTGCACCAGGGCCCAGGCCGCTATAGTGATTACAAATTTGTAAGGAGCACAGCTTACCTATTGGCGTGAGGAGATGCTGGATCTGCTTTACCGTTCAGCATTCATAATTCAACATTCATTATTCATCAGAACCGGTATCCCCAGCTTACGCCTGCGAAAGGTAAAAAACTGCCACCCGACGCAAACCCTATCAATGGCATAAACGCTGCGCGGAATGTAAATCCTTTTCTACCCACAGGCTGTTTGCGGAACCCGATGCTCATTGTTCCATATACATTGTTGTCATTAAGGTCGTCAAAAAGGTTCAAACCCGGCGCATAGGTAGCGCCCCCACCTATTTCAATGTATTTTCCCTTTGTGCCTGCCAGGTAATTGATTTGCACCGGAACAGCGATATAACCATCTCCCTCCACCGAAGCACCGCCAATACCTACCCTGAAACCCAGTCCATTTTCATACTTGCTGAAACGGCCATCGTAATTAAATGAATAGATAACGCCCGCGCCTCCCAGCTCAAAATATACCTGTGAGGCATTGGAAGTGGTTTTCATCATACGCTCCGGCCCCTGGGCACGTAAGGTATACTGCAATGAAAGAACAGCTGCAAACAGCAGCAGACAACGTTTAATGGAATTGCAATTCATGAAGAGGGTTTTTACTGAGACTGAACCAAGGCCGGTTATGCTGCAATGAAAGGGTTAAATTATCATTATTTTTCTTCGTAAATACGGCGCCACCCTTTTCCCTTTGACACAACCCATTACACCCGCCATCTTGCCCGTTACGGAACTAAATCTGCGTACTCCAAATCCAACTTTCATAAACTTCCGTTAATACCCGAAACCCTCAATTATGAAGCGTATAAAAATCGGTAAGCTTTTACCGGCGGTAATTGCCATGGCAGTTACTACGGCCGCAATAACAGGATGCAATAGCAGGACCAGCGATATGGTGACACCGCCCGTAGTTCCCCCGGATATTGTTTTTTATGCGCTTACAGACAATAACCAGCTTATTAAATACAATGCTTCCAGCACCACATCGCCCGACGCTGCCATCAGTCTAACGGGCATACCCACAGGCGAAAAAATTATCAGTATAGATTTCAGGCCTGCTACCGGCCAATTATACGGACTGGGCAGCAACAGCAGGCTGTACCTGTTGAATATCAAGAATGGCATTGCAACCGCACTGGGCACTGTGCCTTTCACACCGGCTATTAACAGCAGTGTTGCCAATATTGATTTCAACCCCACTGTTGACCGGGTCCGTTTGGTAACAGATAAAGGACAAAACCTGCGCCTGCATCCTGAAACAGGTGCCGTGGCCGCAACAGACGGCAATATTAATGGAGGTTCGATGCCTGCGGTTACCTCTATTGCGTATACCAACAGTGTAGCAGGCGCCACCGCTACAGAGCTGTTTGATATAGACGCTACCAGCAGAAAACTATACAAACAAAATCCACCCAATGATGGCAGTTTGCAGGAAGTGGGCAGCATTGCCGTAGACTTTACCGGCAAGCCCGGCTTCGATATCAATGAAGACAACAGCGTTGCGCTGGCCACTTTCCAGGTTGGCGGCATCAATAAATTATACCGTATCAACACCGGCAACGCAGCGGCCGAATTCCTGGCCAACCTGGCAGGTAATATTACAGACATCGCCATACCCACTCCACCGGTAGCCTATGCCATCAGTGAAAGCGGCATGTTCCAGATTTTTAACCCTACGCGGTCTAACAGCGTTATAAATAAAACCATTGCAGGAGCGGGTATGGGTGAAGAATTCATGGGTATCGACTTCAGACCGGTAAATGGTCAGTTGTACGGCATTACGGTTACCAATACCGGCAACGCCCGATTGTATACATTCAATCTCAGCACAGGTGCTGCCACCCCTGTAGGATCGGGCTTTATGCTGACTGCAGGCACCAGCGGCATTGGCTTTGATTTCAATCCCACTGTGGACCGCATAAGGCTGGTGAGCAATACCGGCCAGAATCTTCGCCTGAACCCCAACGATGGTACAATAGCTGCAACCGACGCCAACCTTAACCCCGGCAGCCCGGCAGTTAGCGGTGCCGCTTACAGCAGCAATTTTCCCGGCGCTGCCAGCACTTTTCTATTTGTAATGGATATGGGCAAATTGTACAGGCAGGAGCCCCCCAACAACGGCACCCTGGTAGAACTTGGTTCGCTGGGTATTACCGCAGATGCGCAAAACGGCTTCGATATCGGCGGCAACAGCAATATGGCCTATGCCCTGTTGACCAGCGGTGGCGTAACCAAACTGTATAATATTAATATTTCCAGTGTTTCGCCCGGCGCAAGCATTGATTTTCCCAATAAAGTGAAGGCGTTTTCCCTGGGACTTGGCTTCTAACAAACTGATTAACAAACTAATAAAAGCGAACAGCGGCCCCGTACATCCATTTGTACGGGGCCGTTTTTTTTTGCTGTTTGCAAAAGTAATTTTTGTTGATGCAGGCAACCCTGCCGGCCGGCACTTCGTACTACACCTGATATAAAGTAACTTTACCATACCTACATACTCCAGCTATATTTTGAGCGATGAAGCTGTTAATATATTGACGCTCGTTGACGGATGTTGCAAAAACAACCGCAGCAGCCAGGGTACGCTGTACCATTGGCTCTATGGTTATGCAATGAAAATCTGCTATCGCTATACCAACCACCAGCATGAAGCGGAAGAGCTTACCAATGAATCTTTTGTAAAACTTTTCAAGAACATGCACCTGTTTGATACAGGCAGGCAATTGAATACCGAAGCATTATTAAAAGCCTGGTTCAAACGGATTATTATTAATACCTGTATCGACCACCTGCGGAAGCACCATTCAATGCTGAACGGGCATGCCAGCAATGCAGATACAGAAACAGTAGCGGATACACAGGAAACAGCGATAGATAAGTTATCGTATGAAGAAATTATTGAAGCCATCAAACAATTAACACCGGTATACAGAACAGTATTCAACCTTTTTGCCATAGAAGGAATGACGCATGAAGAAATAGCCGCCCAGTTGCAGATAAGTGTGGGCGCATCCAAATCCAACCTGTCAAAAGCCAGGCATAACCTGCGGAAAATCATTTCGCACCAAACCCAGTACAACACGTATGTACAGACCAGATGAAAAAGATATTGACCGTTTAAGCAGGGAGGCTGCTGAGCATTACCATGCACCGGGGAAACCCTCATGGGATGCTTTACAGCAGGTCCTTGACAAAGAACTTCCGCAGGAGGAAGAAAGAAAACGCCGCGGCTTTTTCTTTTTCTTCTTTTTGCTGCTGGGCCTGTCGCTGACAGGCAGTGTGCTATGGTATGGCATACAAACAGGCAAAAACAAACAACAACCCGCAACTGCAGGTGTAAAAGATAACAGCCGCGCATCAGCCATCGGCAGCCCGGCCAGTGCGGCACAGCCGGTAGCAGCGGCTGCCCCCGGTAACGAAGCTGCGCAGCCCCCTGCCAGTGACCCAGCGAAAAATAACAATGCAAACAGCACTGGTACAGCGGCGGGCAGTAATACCGATGATGCAATTGTGTCTTCTTCCGCACCTGCTGATAAAACAGCCGGTAATATTTCAAA